GGGCAGAGCTTCTTATTAGGGGGTTAATATGGCCAAAAAGGATAGGGGCCAGTAGATTTACCCAGCCTTGATGTTAGGGAATATAATGAATTTTTTTTTTTAAATCCAAGAAACTGAAGGTGTCCAAATCAGTCCAGAAATCAAGGTCAGTCCAGTCCAAGGTCAAAAATGAGAATCCAAAAGCGATGAATTTATTCAAAAGTTCAGAAAATAGAGAGAGCAAAAGGAACAAGTCTGATTAACTGACTGAGTGAATAAAAACTGACCACCTGACGCACAGGAGGCGTGGCCACAAAATTTAAAGGCATATACACTCAGCACTGACGAATAACCCATGCTTTTGGATTCTCCAAGCAGCGCACTGGAGAATGTTGCTAGAGAACTAGCTCAACCCTTCAACATATTAAAGCTGTTCCTCCATCTTCTCAGTTTTACTAGTGTGTTATTTCAAAATATTTATATAATATGCTTAGATTCTTAATATTTTATTATGTAGGTTCATTAAATATAAATAGAGGAAAAAAGCAGGCAAATCAATATTACAGTTTCAAATACTAATATTAGAAACATTCTAGTTATTTCACTTTTCTTCAAAATTAAGTATAATGAATATTTAATGAAAAGAGCATATATCAAAGTATTATTGTAAAAAATATTCATCTTAAAGTAAATTACTTGTCATTAAAATCTCCATCATATTGTTTCATGGTTTGTGTATGTGTTGACTGAACTGAAAGTCAACAATTTTAAAATGCTAAAAAATAAAATTTAAAAAAGGCAAAAAGGTAAAAAAGCTATTGAGTTTCTGACTTCCACATTGTATACATACGCTAATCTGCAATATTTATGAAGATCATACTAGAAACTTGATAAATCTAGTATCAATCTAACATTGACAAGGTATTTTTGGAACATCACAATATCCAGTAGTGGAGTCATGTAATTTTAGACTTTGTCTAAAAGCTGATTTAGAATTTCCCGTAATTGCCTATGGTAGCTGTTGCATACCTACACCACAAAGGGGTTGATGTATAAGCATAGGTTGTGGATAGCTATATATGGACTGATGCAAAGACTCCCAAATTCCAACTGCACAGTTGTGTGAAGGTGCAAGTCCTGGGTGCCGATTGGTTGATCCAACTTTGCAGCCTTATCACTGCAACAGCTATACAATTGTCTATGAGTGACAGATGCATACTGTATGTTCTCCCTGTGCAAAGCCAGACAAATCTGCTCCACTCTGAATTGTAAGGTCATGGACTTTAGCCATAAGCTCCAGCCTTAACTACATTACTGAGAATATCATTACAGCTTAATGTTTATCATCTCATTACAAAACTGGTGAGATTTTTTTTTCCTGAGCAGTGGCTTGGGCGGACTGGACTGAAGGCTTACTAAAAGGGAGAACAGATAGGCCTTGAAGTTCAGTATTATCTTTATTTCAACTGATAAGAATTCATTTGAATTTCTACAATGCACACAGTTTTGAACTTTCTTATAAAATCAATCATCCTGAGTGGGCATTTCATTATAAACATGTTTTTACTAAGCTGATATCTAAGCATAAGAGTACTGTTCGTTCTTAGTAAAAGTATCCAAAATGGAAGGCTCAAGAATACAGGATTGTTGTTTTTTTTAAAAAATATTTGGAAAGCTATGTTATGGCCTAGGATGAGAGATTTGTTATATAGCCATGTTTCCTTTATGAATCTATTTGTCAATAGATTAAATATGATGTATTGATTCCATATTCTACAAAATCCCAATTGAATTTCTTAATATATAAAAATATTTACATATTGACATTTATTTTGGAGGATCAAAATAAAATTTCAAATTTCAAACATTTTACATATTTTTAATATAATAATACCAAATAGTGTTAAATTTTAAATTCAATTGGGCTCTATCCAAAATTATAACAGAAAGTTATAATTTGATACAATCAAGAGAAACCAATTATTGTAAAATATTGTTTAATAAAAATAAAAGGATGTCAAAGCTCAAGACTCTTACTTTTGTATTAGGATGACATTAATATACCCATCCAAGACCGAGTGGCTGTGGTTTCCGACGTCCCGATTATTTTATTTGATTTTAAATTTTGTATATTTATGTGTTTTATTTCATGGCTGTACACCGCCCTGAGTCCTTCGGGAGTAGGGCGGTATAGAAATTCAATTAAATAAAATAAATAAAATAAATATACTATCTAAATCTCATTTCTTAGCATTATTTGACCTGCAAACTAATTATAAGTGACATTAAATTAAGGTAATGTCATAGCCTGTTTTCAGTTTTAGTTTATTAAAAACCTTGCCTCTTTTTTAATGATAAAGTTGTCTAGCATCACAAGCTGCATAAAGACAAGTTATTACTATCTATAATAACATTTCCAATTTTAAGTAGCAATACTCATGTAAGAAATTCTGATTTCTTAATATCCACTTTTCAGTGTTCAAGACCTTTGTAGAATAGTTTATTGCTATAAAGTTTAAATTGTTGAAATAAATACATGTCCAACAGCACATCAGGGAATACAAAAATTAAAATAGCAAACATTCATGCATATTCACCCTGGCTCTGGGCCTGTTGGAAAATTCAGTTTTTAAAGGTTTTCCAAAAGTCTGCAGGCTTGGGGCCAATGGATTGGGGTTGGGGGTATTGCTGTTATTTTTTTTATTTTTTTTTATTTTTTTAAATTTGATTTATATGCCGCCCTTCTCCGGAGTCTCAGGGCTGCTTACAATGCGTTAAACAATTTTTGAGGACAGAAATAATGACACACTTGGCACTCCTTATTGTGAAACACTGTCCATTATTTTTCCCAATCTTATAAATAGTCAGAAACAATATAAAGTAGAATGTGTTCAATAAAAAGCATTTCAGTTGAATACCAGGTAAATAGCAAAGATATATAAAGCTATGGCATTCATTGGGTTGTCACAAATGCTGACAGTAATTTGCTGATTTAGATTTTTTTTTTTATTACTTGTATCAGAATACATAGTCACAATTTCAAGCCCAGTCATTATGTTTTCACAAAATATTTCACAATGTTTTCCTCATCTATTTGGTGTCCGTCACTGTGTTCCATGGAAACCATAAGACATCTGACTTATAATGCATTAGCAATTACACTGGTTTCATCATTATATGGATCATAAGCAGAGCTAAAAAGCCAGTAGCAAGGAAGAAACTTAATGTACTTTATTGTTACTGCACTCTTTGGCTGAATTATGAAATAAATGAAAATAAAATGTTTAAGAATAAATCTAAACCATCTTGGATAGAGGTGTGGTGCCTTGATATGATTAAGCATGCATTATATATAAAGTGATATCTTTGCTTGCCTTTGCTTGTTTGTATTCCATTTATCTGTAATATAATATCCCTGTTAATGAGAGAAAAATAATTGTGGTTGCTTAAACTCACATCATTTAGTCCGTCCCTCCCGCCCGTTTACACTATTGACTGTCTGGAATAATTGCTGAAATATCCTATGCCCCAGATATGGCTGTCCAATATCAGAATGTGTGTTAATTGGAGATGTTGCTGTTTGTTGGCATAGCTGTTGCCTATTGTGTGGCCTTAATTAGGTCAGATTCTTCAGAAGTGGTGTCTATGCAAATTCTTTCCCACAATTCTGTTTATTAAAAGAGCTTTAGAATGGCAAACACCAGTAAATGGCAAAAGGGAGAAATAGACCATAAGCTTACATAAAAATCTGTCTAAATTAATTTAAATGAGTTAATCAAAAATTTGAAATAATTGAAACACACTTTTATTATAAAAGGAGAACTATGACCTGCTGAAGTGCACGTCTATTCAATCTGCTGCTCAACTGCTAATTTTATGGCGTTGATGTTTAGATCCTTATTTTACTTTGTTTGGGCCAAATAGTTTTCCCAACAGTTCAGACAAGAGGGCCATTCTATAACATACCTTGAAATGTAAGGTTTAATTTATAAAGGTGAGCCGATCTTATGATTTTTGTTAGTTTGATCACCTGACTAGTATTTTGGACTGTTTTCACAGTTAATAATTTACAGTCACCAAAATGTTCTCCTGAATTGTTGAGGATATGAAGATGTTTTGGCAATGATTTTATTAATAAATTACGGACCTTTTCAATTGGAATAGTGTACAGCTTGCACCATGACGATCTGCAATGCAATCTTAAAACCTTGTTTCCACTAAAGAAAAAGCCTGTGGAAAGAGACCCCAAGCAATGAAACATAAAGGATTTGGAATTATTTTGGAATAACAGTATCATTCTGAGTCAGTAATTCTTAAACTTATTTACTTGTCAAGGCTCCTTCCCATTTTTAAAAATTACAGAGGCCCCAAAAAGAGCTTTTGTTTATATGGGTTATATTTTCAATATTTACTTTATTGAAAATTAAAATTCACACATTCACTACTACTGGTCAAGATTATTTGAAGGGATTTTAATATGGTTTATTATTTTTCAAAATAGACTCGAATTTTGATTTTGGGGACCCTTGAAGTGATTTTGGAAGAATCCCTGGGGTTTGGGACCACTATTTAAGAAACACTGTTGTGAGTACAGGTAATCCTCAACCTAACAGGTAATCCTCAACCTAACAGTACATTTAGTGACAGTTCAAAGTTAGAAGGGCACTGAAAAAAAAAACGACTTACAACCTCCGCAGCATCCCCAATGATCATGCAATCGAATTCAGACGACTGGCAACTGGTTCATACTGACCGTTGCTGTGCCTCAACCTCACCTTTTGCCACCTTTGGACAAGCAAAGTCAACCGGGGGGTGGGACTGGACAGATTCACTTAACAACCCCGATTACTAGCTCATCAACTGCAGTGTTTTAATTCAACAATTGTGGCAAGAAACGGGGCAAAACTCTCTCAGCACCAGAAACGTTGAGCTCAACTGTGGTCGTAAATCGAGGACCACCGGTAATCCTTGAGGCGCGGGGGAGGGAATCTCCCGTTTAGCCTCCAGGCTGTTCAACTTACTCGGAAGCCACACCGAATTCAGTTTCTCCTCTTCCCGTAAACGCCCTTAAAGATTGAACCCTAAACGTCGAAAAGCGGAATACCGCCAGGCGGCCGAGAAGAAAGGCTTCCGCCTCGAGGCCCGAGTCGAGCCCCGAGGCCACGCCGGCCCCCAACGGAAGGCCTCTACGCGCTGCTGCTTAGCGCCTCCTAGCGAAGCCCTTTTCGGCGGCGGGGGCGCCTCGCTTTTTTTCCCCGGTGCCGCCGTCACCGCCTCCTGGGCGGGCCCCGGATCCGCCTCCAGTTGCCCGCTGAAAGGAACATGGTGGCCGCTTCCTCCCTCCTAAACAGCAGCAGCGGCGGCGGCTCAGGCTCTCTTTGAGGGGGCCGGGAAGCTGCGAGCACGGCGTCGCCGAGTCAGCCAGGCCGCGGGGCGTCTGTGAGCTGAGGAAGCCGGGGGAGTCCGGTATTTGTCTGACGACTCCGCCAACGCCGCCACAGGTGCGTCGGGAGAAGGAGGTTGGAAGAGCTGACAGGAGGCGCCTTCGGCTTCCCGGGTGGCTGCCTTTCGCTTCCCCGTTTCCCTCTGCTTTTCCCTTTCACCCCCGCCTCAGGTTTGGGGACACCGGCTTCTGCAAGGGCGGGAAATGCCCGCTTGTGCAGGCGGGACGGTGCTCTTTCTCGAGCAAGTACGCACTTGGCCGCCTGTTCCTTCCTTCGCTTTCCCCCTCCCCGCCCCCGTCTCGCCTCGCCTTGTCCTCCCTCCGCCTTGAGCGCTGGGATGCAAGATCACGTTGAGAGAGCGCGAAGGGAGCGTGGTGCTGCCCCGCCGGGCTGCCCTCAAGGTGTCGGACAGGGCCGCTGGGAGGAGAAAAGCGGGAAATTATTTTTATTTTTTCTTTTTGCAACCGGGGTTCGGGGTGGTTTTGGACTCGGAGCGGCCTTTGGAAGCGAGGGGCATCCGGTGGCAGCCCTTCCGTGCCGAATGTGGGGAAGAGATTCGCCCCCTTCTTTCCTCCCGCGAATGGCATTTGCTTCCCACGTGTCCTTTTTTTTTTTACCTGTGCAGAATTGTCTGTGGAGTTCACCTGCGGGTTAGGGTTAAGAAGGAGCCGGGAGAAAGGCCCGCGATATTGTTTTCTTCATCTCCTTCCTCTTGAAATTATTGATTTGAATTGATGCAACCGCGAAGGGATCAGAGGGGCCAGGCAAACTTGGGCTGAAACGAGATTGAAAATAGTTGGTGGTTCCACACGTTGTGGGCATCCAGCAGTTATTCTCGCATATTGTGTGAACCAGGCTAGGGAGAATCAAATGGCAGAAGGGCAGAGAAGCCGGGATTCCCCGGCTGCCTCCGAATCAATCCAGGTATAATGCAATTTATTTTGTGGCCGTAGTGTCTTGGGTGATGCTGTGAGTAAAAAGTTGAGTTTATCATCTGTAAGCTGCCCCATTGTCCTGCAGAGAAAATCCTCTCTCTGTGTATAAAATATATGTGTTGCGTTTGTGATGTAAGCTACAGTTTTGGGCTTTGTTTATGTGGAAGTGCTGCTTAACTTAGTTAGACTTGCTTTTGGGTAGATATGTGTAAAATTGGATTGTTATGAAGAATGGCTTAGGTGCTAAGTGGTTATGGCGACAGGGTAGCCTCTTGATTCTATGTAATCTATTCATTGCTTTTGCATAACTTTGGGGCAGGTGATAGCCAAACTACCGTACGCTGGACTTTCACATGGTCAACAAACTTCCCAAAAATAGTTGAGTATAGGTTTATTTTAAATTAGAAAATCATTTATAGCTTAATCTGAAATATTCATATAATTCCTGTTTAAAGCTCACTATACGTAAGACGTGTATTTTCTCCTTAATGCTACTTCCTCAGAAGGTCCTGGTTTCCTTAATGCCCAAGAGACAATTAGTTAACCCCCTAAATGCTAGCATTAAAGATACCAACACTTGGAATTGACTTAAAATTGTTGTCTCTTTTTATCTTATCTGCAGTTTTGACTTCCTTTTTCCTCTTTTTGACTCTTAAGTGATTCATTTGAATTCCACAGTAATAGGATTTTGTGGAAGAAATCTTGAATACTGTTTTCTAAGAAACAGAAAAGTAAGCCAGTTAGTATGAAATATGATGTATCTGTGGGGTCACCTAATGAATATGTTAATAGTTTAACAAATATGATTGAAGTTGCATAAATAGTCCTCAGAAATGTTGCTTTAAATTTATCCTTAATGCGTAGAGTATCTGGGTGACAGTATTAAGATCTGATTCAAGTGTCATGCTAATCTACTGTAGATATATGTAGTGCACTTGAATGGATTAATATAATTTGCTAAACAAAATCGGCAAATTGTATTTTGACTTATAGTTTCCTTACTGATCACTTTAACCCAAGCTGATTATATTGGGTCTATTTATTTTCAGTATATCTTTAATGATGGGGTGTTAGATAACAAGGTATTGAACATGGTTTTAAACATGCATTGAATTGCAATAAAATTGTTGCCTGTTTTGTTCTGTAATGCCTGATGTTTTCAGTGAAAATGCTTACTTTTAGCTAAATCTGCCATTTTCTTCTATATGTAACTTTGAAATAATTTTTTATAGAATCTGTTGCTTTTGTTGTTGAAAGAAACAATCATAAACATTATATGGAAAAATAGTTCAGTAGGTGTTTAGTTATTGTGCATAGATGTAAGTTGTTATTTTAAATATCCAATATTTTTTTCAAGCTAATTCTATTCCACTGATACATTGCTGGATGTGTTAATAATGATTTATAAGTGATATTTTTCTAAGCTTTAATAACAGGGCAATACATATATATTCTGAATTTTGTTACTGAATAGCCTTTGTGTGGTTGTTCCTGGTCTACCAAATATTATTCAAGATGAGCTTTAAAAATGTTTCTCACAACTACATTTTAAAAGACATAAAGGAAGGCTATATCAGGGGTAAGAAACGGAGACCCAAAAGTAAACAGTTATTTTTTTTATGATCATAAATTTAAAAAAATTCAGATTACAGCATTTTCATGTGGTATCTCACAGGATTCAAGCTAAAGATCTTGCAAAATCTTGGGAGCAAAGGACTCTAAAATCTAACAATAATACATTACTTGAAATAATGTAAGAATTCAAATTTTCTTCAATAGTTGCATTGTATTCTTTTTTAAGATTTCTATTGGCTGGCCTATGAGTTGCCATTAAAAATACAAGGAAAGATATAATAAATAAACATGTAGTTTAAGAATATAATTGAAGTTTGTTATTACAAAATACAGAGTTGATCATGCACAATAATGCACATAACTATGGGGTTTGTTCCCAGTGATCACACCAGCTCTTCATTTTGTGCAATTATATATTTCATCCTATAGAAAGCGGGTTGCAGACCATGTCTCCTTTTTAGTATAATAAGCATACAAGTAATGATAACTCTTTCTCCTTAGCTATCCTCTGATGTCAGCAGTTAGGGAAAAGCACTTGGAGAAACTACTCTGTAGCATCTTTATCTATTAAAACCAGACAGCCAATGTGAGGCAATAGTTAATCTATTAGAATAGGAATGGAAAAACTCATTTTTGCTTCACCTTCAGTCTTGAAAAATCCCTGAATGACCTTGGGACAGTCACTCTCTTTTAAGATTATTGTTGTGAGAAAACAAGAAGAGGAGAAAACAGTAAGACTTGATTTCTGAATGAAAGACAAGATATAAATCTAATAAGCAAGCTAGTAAATTTTCATTTCTTTCACCAATTGGATTGGTATTGTTCTGTTATAAAGTAAAAAAGAAATTGCTGCCACCATATAATGGTTACTAAATTTCTTTGTGACTAAACCTAATCTCAGGAATTCCCCAAGATCTGTATGGCCCCAACTCTGCTGTCTTCCAAGAGTACTTTAGAGACCTAGCTCTCCCACAGGCACTGGGTTGGCATGTTATGTGAAATAGGAGGAAGGTGGGTTGATAAATTCAGTGCCTTGCCATTCAAAGATTTGTAAAAATAATAAAGCTGGGGAATAAATAAATACATAAATAAATAACCTACCACTGAGATGGTTTAATTATTATGTTTGACAACACAATTTTTACTATCTTTTAATTGACTATATTGTTTTAACTTGCTGTAAACTGCCCAAAGCTATAAATGTAAATGGGTGACTTTGTAATTGGCATCATAAATATAAATTCAAAAATATTATTAATCTATTAATAAGAGTTATGCTGGTGAATTCCTGATGGTAAGGACCTATATTTATTTCCTTCCTTCCTTCCTTCCTTCCTTCCGTCCTTCCTTCCTTCCTTCCTTCCTTCCTTCCTTCCTTCCTTCCTTCCTGTGAACGAATGATCTGGGCTTCTGGCTGCCCAAACCTCTGAGCAACTTGTATCAACAGTAACAAGAATTAATATATAACACCACATAGCAACAATATCCACTAAGTGTCATTCAATAGGATTAGGCTAATGAACAGCAACCCCAAATATATTTTGGAGGAGCCTTTTTTCTGAATTACTTGGAACTGCAACACGGAGGGGTCAGTGCAGAGGTCCGGAGAATAACTGTTCAACAGAAAGGAAGTCATTACTGAGAAGGCTAGACTGTGGTGTCAATGTAAATGGCACTTTCCTCAGTGTTGGATCCTTAAGCTTTTTCTCTCAGACAGATTTAGACAGATTCAATTGAGAGAAGCTATCTAGATTTGGAACTTAAAAGGGCTTTAAAATTAGCACCTGGACTTGCACCAGAAGCTAATTGGTACCCAGTACAGCTCATATAGCAATATGTTACACAGACAAGCCTAGGAATAGCAATAGCATTTAGACTTATATACTGCTTTAAAGTTCTTTACAGCCCTCTCTAAGCGGTTTACAGAGTCAGCATATTGCCCCCAACAATTTGGGTCCTAATTTTACTCACCTCAGAAGGATGGAAGGCTGAGTCAACCTTGAGCCTGGTGAGATTTGAATTGTCAAATTGCAGGCAGCAGGCAAGCAGCAGAAGTAGCCTGCAGTACTGCACTCTAACCACTGTGCCACCTCTGCTCTTGAATGCTTTTAGTATCTGGCTTGCTATATGCTACATACCAGCTG